TCTCTGATCTTACCATGGTCTTAACACTTTCACAATTTTTGATTACACCATAATTAGTTAGTTTATTATTATCACCTTCATTATGACTCTTGTCTCATTCTTCACCTTCTTTAAATTTATCTATCAAGTGGACACCCAATATTCGCATTCCTCATCTACCAACAATTATCAGCTTGTCAACCTTCTAGCCTTCGTCGTTATTTCTACTGTCTAAAAGATTATTATGCAACTACTTTCCACTCTTCTTGACTTCGGTTTTTTAGCACTAGGTTAATGATGAAATTACGCACTATTGCTTAACAATAGACTGTTATATGTTTGTGATATATATATATATATATATATATATATTTCGGTTGTGCAGCTCTAGAAAATAATATCATCGCGAAAGATTTTCTTCGCTGAATCATCTCTTATTTTCACTAGTGGAATTTGAATGCCATAGGATAAAGGAATTAAGAAACACTGATCTTTATCGACTAATGGTTAGATAAATGACGCTTATGCATACAGAATGCAAGAGGCATGGTTACCAAGTAAAGGTTATATACAGTTCACCTGGATAGGTTATAATTGTGAACACTGTTAGTGTTATTATCATCGCAAGTACATACACACAAACCTTATATACGAATAGAAAGTGATAACAGTAGACTACAGGAAACAATCATAGACCACATAGGGTAAGAGCAAGTCTAATCTACTTTCTAAATATGTCATGAGTTATCCGTTCCCAACTAATCAGAAATATGTATGCAACGATAAGCCATACCGATGATTCTACGGCAGCAAGCTCCTTCTCTTTGTCTATATACTTCAATTTAAGAATTAAGGACTACGGGCATTGGACATATCCGTAAACCTAGCACAATTTCCTCAGTAGGGCAGCTTAGTTGAAAGTGCGAACTCATGGTCATCATTTAATTCATTTCCAACTGCCTCCACAGATACGTCGATATGTTAATTGGCATAAAGGCTACTTACATCAAAACTAATCATTTCTTCACTGTTATCTAATCTATGCATGAGTCACAACATTTAGTAAATCTAGTTTCTGAATAGCTTCTAACTGGGTATAACATTATAGCTAAACGTATAGAAAAAATAAAGGTTAGAGTGTTGGTAAAATCAACTATGGGTGTGGTTTGAAAACCTAGTTTGTAAATTTTAAGAGTAATACGAAAATTCCCATTTATATATTCAGTGAAACAAACAATGTGAGCGAAGAAATATTTCTTTTCAATTTGTTCCTCCTGAATCCCTCTATATTAATATATAACATTTTCAAAACGTAAAATTACATACTAATCTAGTGGTGAGAATTGTTGAATGGCATTTTATCAATATTAACGCATCAAGAGGCTGATAACTGATCCGGTGATTAAGACAGTTAACTAAAGCATAAATTAATTATAGTAAAAAGACTGACATCAGTTGGAGGAACAAAGGAAACCTGGAAGCACTGGACAGCTGTTTCGTCCGACTAGTATGGGACTCCTCAGCAGTGCGCACCCACGACCCCACCAGCAGGGATCGAACCCGCGACCTTCAGGTTCCGCGACCAGCGCGTGCTCCCAGGTTTCCTTTGTTCCTCCAACTGATGTCAGTCTTCGATGAATAATAACTTGAAATATTTCCAAATCTCCACAACCCCCTCAAAATTTAATTGAACTAGTGCTCGTTGGTGACTAGCTTCGAGAAGTATTCCCGAAGTTCCAATGACAAGTCGTGACCGGTGGAGTCAAGCCTGATGGCCGTGAGGACAAATACTCAACGATGACATTAGGTGGCGGTTCGCGCTATATCGTGAGCTAACAGAAGTTGGAAATATGGAGCACTGGATTCTGACCCAGTGGCTCAATGGTAACGCGCTGGTCGCGGAACCTGAAGGTCGCGGGTTCGATCCCTGCTGGTGGGGTCGTGGGTGCGCACTGCTGAGGAGTCCCATACTAGTCGGACGAAACAGCTGTCCAGTGCTCCCAGGTTTCCTTTGTTCCTCCGACTGATGTCAGCCTTCGATGAATAACAACTTGAAGTATTTCCAAATCTCCACAACCCCCTCAAAATATGGCAAAAAGATTTTGTGAAACGTTAAATAGGTTCTTACACAATCGATATTTTGTGCGATAGTAACTAATGCGATGAAAAAAGGGAAAGTAAATTGTTACGTCAAGTGGAAAGTTGTTGACGGTAATTAGAGACAACAGGGGGGAGAATAAGACGGCCAAATCTGCAATAATAATAATAATAATAATAATAATAATAATAGAGGTAGTAAAGTATTAGATATAATCATTTGTAGGATGGATGAAAGGAAGGGTCTTATTGTAATAGTTAAGCTATATAGACGGCCAAGGCAAAGAAAGAGACTTTACGAATTTCTTCTGAATACACAGTACTGGCTTGTTTAGATAGATTCCTAATGTTTCTGCTGTATGTAAAATACGAACTCGTAGAGCATGGGTAAGGTGAGAAGGAATGGGATAAATAATTTTAAAGGTGTTATAAATATTAACTCAGTGACCAGTGTCAATCAGTTGCGAGAGTATTGAGCCTCGTACTGTCAGCAAAAGAACGGAGAGGAAACGAATTCATCTTATTCAAAGTTTGAAGAACCAAACTCTAGAAATGAGCTTTTTCCAGATCCTGGCCGATATGTCCATAATTTTTCCAATTTTGATATTGATGTGGTAGCACTGCAAGCATTATCTCTGGGTCCTAAGTTTTGTTATAGTTATATTACACCTAGTAGAATAAACACTCAAGTTCAGAATGAAAACTTGTACTCTCAGACAGAGTAGATATCACCTTCTTCAAGTGAGGGGGTGGAAAGATTCAAGTTCACCCTGATTAACTGTTGCTATAAATATATGAATAGCAAGCAGAATGTTAAAAGCATCTTGACTAGAAAACATAGCGAAACCTTTCGTAAACTTCGAATGAACGAGAATCTATTGATCATTAGGCCCGATAAAGGTTCAAGGGTGGTTATTATGAACTAAGTGGAAAACCTGTATAAAATGAACAGCTGTCTTAGTGATCATAGTAAATTTCAGAAACTGTCAACTAGTACTGAGATAACAGAGAAGACTGACAGACAATTATCTGAATGCTTAAATAAGTTGAAACAGCATGGCTTCATTTCACAAAATGTGTATGGAACACTCAGACCCACTGGTACAGTAACACCAAGGTTATACGGTTTACCAAAAGTGCATAAGAATGGATTACCACTCTGACCAATCCTTGATATGTCAAACTCTCCGTATCATGAGACAGCCAAATGGCTGGTACAACTCTTGCGACCATTGGATTAGGAAGTTGTAAAGTTCAACATCAAAGATACCTTTCATTTTTTTGAGAAGATAACAGATTTGAATGTGAATAATAAGTTTATGACATCCTTGGGCATATCATCCATATTTATAAACGTCTCTTTGATGGAAACAATAGACATCATATATAGCGAGCTGACACTGTTTATTTCACTTAGAAATCGCTTCATTCTGTGTATTACATCTGTAAGGGATTTCTTAACCTCATTCATACTTACTTATCAATTCCATCGTACATTTCTCTACTTCTGTATTTTTATTTACTTTACAAATGTAATCAGATTTATCCAACACAACTGATAAGCTGTCAGTATTTGATTCAATTTTGAGGGGGTTGTGGAGATTTGGAAATACTTCAAGTTGTTATTCATCGAAGGCTGACATCAGTCGGAGGAACAAAGGAAACCTGGGAGCACTGGACAGCTGTTTCGTCCGACTAGTATGGGACTCCTCAGCAGTGCGCACCCACGACCCCACCAGCAGGGATCGAACCCGCGACCTTCAGGTTCCGCGACCAGCGCGTTACCATTGAGCCACTGGGTCAGAATCCAGTGCTCCATATTTCCAACTTCTGTTAGCTCACGATATAGCGCAAACCGCCATCGCGGAACCTGAAGGTCGCGGGTTCGTTCCCTGGAAGGCGGGGTCGTGGGTGCGCACTGCTGAGGAGTCCCATACTAGTCGGACGAAACAGCTGTCCAGTGCTTCCAGGTTTCCTTTGTTCCTCCAACTGATGTCAGCCTACGATGAATAACAACTTGAAATATTTCCGAATCCCCACAACTCCCTCAGAATAAATGTCAGTTTGTAATTTGCCATTGTTTACTTAACTGGACTGGATTGATAGGTCATGTCGATAAGCGGACATTGAACGGTTACCTTTGTATTAATAACCTGAGTTTATTGTCAGTTGTATTAGAATGATTTTGGTTGGCAGTTGGATCAGCAACGAACATTTTTTCTTATTTTAGACTTCCTTTGCCCAAAAGATAATTATCTCATCTCAATAGTCTGGTGGGTGATGTTTTGATGGTTGGAGTAATAGGTTCGGTCTCAAATTACAAGGGAACACCAAAATTCAATGAGATACAGTAACAGTTAGCTGATACGTTTTAATTACAACATAATGCACATCCACGAGTTAACATTTAGCCGTAACTATTCATTACAACATGATAGATTGGATTATACATTTGACTTTCATGTCTGTCAAAGTATACTTTGTCTTTGACAAACTAAATTATCTATTCTACTGCATTTAAGTGGTTATACAAGATGTTATTGCTCAAAGATTAAAATAAAATTGCTATATCATTGATGAATTATCTCACTAGTAACTGTTGATGAGTTGAAACATGTCAGTAACAGCAGTACATCGTTTCCAAGTTGATGCTTTTACTGAAATATATCATACCTCATATCTGAAGTTCACATTTAGAACAGCTATCCTAGGCTTTATATATAGCAAGTATAATTTAGTATCATTAAATATTTGCTATTCAATACACGGACTAATAAGTTTACCAGCATAAACAAATTCACGTTACTATGCATAAGTATTTGTATTCACATCTTAGAATAATGATTGGTGAATTATACAATGAAATAGCCTGTATTTAGCTTATATAGAAGAGTTTTTACATGTGTATCAACATATATGCATGAATTCGTTTATATATAGTGTGTGTGGATATTATTGATTTGTAAAATAGGGAGTATGTTACTAATACTCTCCACCATTTTAATACTATATTGTATTGAGAAAGAATTCGGTATGTTATAACTATGTATAATGACTTGAATAAATTAATTTTATTCCCTTTCAATCTAGTCAGTGCAGAATTCATTCATAAAAGTTTTGAAATCATCAGTCACGTAAGTTAAAAAGTAGTCCAGTTTAGTTAGAACATAACTTTTACTTGTTAATTGCTTAACTGTTGAATAATACATGAGTACAGTTAGAAATTAGATGATAATTTTTTATAGTAAGACAGAAAGTATGGTGACAAGAAAACTATAGTTTCACAATTGAAAGTTAGATGATCTGAGAGTAAAGAAAAAGCTGATCTACTGCATGGGTGAATTATTGCTTTGAGAAACTTTTGGTGACAGCAGTAGACAATTGAACATCAGTTGAATGAATATATGATCTTGTTAGATGTGAAGTTAGATTGAATGAGAAGAATTCATTAACCAACCTCGCTGGAGAAGTTTATAGCCTGAAACGGAACCGACTTTCATGAGATAGCCTGAATCTAATTAACAGGACCATAATACGCTGCCGCGGTTATTGTTCACCATATACTTAACACAAGTTTATATATATATATATATATATATATATATATATATATATATGCTGGTCTGACTGTAAGACGTAAAAGTTCGGTATTTTATTAATGAGATAGGTAACAACTAATCAGTTCTCTCAGGGTTTTCGTAAGGTGAAAAAGAAAAACTCATCATCCCACTATCAAAATTGTTCAGCATTTACCTTACGAAAAACTTCTGTGGCATAGTTAAGTTACAGTGGGAGTTATCAGATTGTGAGTTAAGAAAATTTTCAATAAATTCTTTAACACGAATGTTTATTCTTCACATTAGCTTGTAATAATTTTAATCGACGTCATACCTGATTATTGGTTGTCTGAGTAAACTTTCGCTTGATCAACAAATATTTGTTTGTCTTCATGTGTTTGTCTAGTGTTAATTTTGTTGAATGCCAATCTTCTAAAATTGCCTTTAGATACAGTTTTAATCACACTGACTGACCACATCGTCATTTATATAAGTGAAAAACTTGGGCACTGTGGTAGAATGTAGTTCCATATTAGATTTGTTTATTTGATATAAAGCGCACAGTGATACAGTATTATTTAATTGATTACGTTTCGAGCATAAATTATTGCTCATAATCATATCAATGTAATCACACTTCTTTCAATACCTGATTTTATAGTCCTGTCACCTGATCTCTCTTTGTTTTTTGTTTTTTGATTGGTAGTAAAGTTTTCCATATCTCTGGTATAGGTGTTGCGTCATTCCTATTACATGTGTTGGGTGTGGATTCGGTGAACAAAGATTCAGTAATTAATCTCTCTCTCCACCTAGCTATATTAGACTTAAGTACAGTGGTTTTGTCCCACCCCATTTTGTGGTTATGTGTTAATGAATGTAATGCAATGGCCGAGTGTTTTTCTAGGTTATTGACCATACAAGGAAGGAACATCAGGAACCATACGTAGGATTCTCAACAAGGTTGGAATTAGGGTGGCATTTAAACCAACAAACTCACTTAGATGTAAGCTTTGTCGGCTAAAAGATCCGATAGAACCAATTAATCAAAATAATATAATCTACCAAATTCCATGTAATGACTGTGAAGTCAAATACATAGGTCAAACTAGCCGGTCGGGATCAGTTAGATTAACAGAACATAGGAATTTAGCTAAACATAGAACGGCAGACCCCAATAAGATCAATAATCTAGAAAAACACTCGGCCATTGCATTACATTCATTAACACATAACCACAAAATGGGGTGGGACAAAACCACTGTACTTAAGTCTAATATAGCTAGGTGGAGAGAGAGATTAATTACTGAATCTTTGTTCACCGAATCCACACCCAACACATGTAATAGGAATGACGCAACACCTATACCAGAGATATGGAAAACTTTACTACCAATCAAAAAACAAAAAACAAAGAGAGATCAGGTGACAGGACTATAAAATCAGGTATTGAAAGAAGTGTGATTACATTGATATGATTATGAGCAATAATTTATGCTCGAAACGTAATCAATTAAATAATACTGTATCACTGTGCGCTTTATATCAAATAAACAAATCTAATATGGAACCACATCGTCATTTGTTTGCCAGAAATATAGTCACAAAGTCGTTGACTCGACGCTTTTAATATGTTTAAGAATATCTCGATCTGATGTCAACCCAACAAGCATTAAAGATTTCAAGCTTAAATTGATGATGTCCAGATTTCTAAATCTGCTTAAACCAAACCCACCACAATTAAATGTTTATGTGATTAAACATCATGGAAATCATAGATGAGAGCTGAAGACTAGTTTAGATGGAATAGTTATGCAGTAAACAATAATGTGTTAGTTTCATTTCAGAAGCGTTAACATTTCAGGTAGTCTCTGTTTACCTGCAAACGACTGTTATTCATGTTCATGTATGCACAATAAGTATTATCACTTAAGATTCATTTGATCAATATAGTGAGAGAGATTTGTGATTCAATGACAATTTGTTTTGAGGAAATATTCTCCTTCTGGTAATATTTATTTGCAGTTCAGTTTTCGTGGTACTTCCAGCTTGAATATCTTTCAAGAGTTCATAAATTTACATTACTTCCAAGAATGCATAATATAGGTAGTGCTGCATTCTCTGAACTGAATGCTTCATTAGTGAAGTTTCACTTGTAATTCGAGACTAAATCTTCAGCAGTAACTTCAATGTATAGGAAGTTATCGGGATTTCTTCATGAATAATTCACTAGCCTTGACTGAAGAAGTGGTGAATGATTGATAATTTCCTTTGATTACTGTACCACCGGTTGCATAGATTATCATATTGCCTGATCACTGAATTTGTAGTTCCTAAATATTTCTATAACGAGTATTAATCGTCAAATAGGATATATAGAACAACTAGCAGATTGGTATTTATTACCCACATGCTATTTGACATTAAAAACTTGTATGCTCAGTATACTTGAGTGACATGGTTGCTGAAGGCAGAATAGATAAAACGATGTAGAGAAGTATATGAACCTTTTTAAGACTCTTTTCAGGTTGATAGAACCCAAACATGTGTAATAAAATTTTGATACTAAGATTTGAAGTTGTGCCGAGAACGAAGATATGCAAATTTGATCGATTGTGAATCATATCACAAGGGGTCTCTAAACATCAAGTTTTGTTGAGTCATGAACCCTGATCAGGGGATGATAATTCCGTACAAATGTCCAAGAAGACATTCAGTGGTTTTAGGAACTGATGCCATATTTTTGTCTGTCTCCCTATAATTATTTCCAGGTCATACCCTACGCAAGACAAGATTGTTCTTTTGGGTAGGCGGTGGTTCGACATGTAGAGAGTACAACGCTAACTTATTCTTTGAAAATTCATATAGCCATTCATTTATTGATACTCTTTCACTGGTTAGTAAAATGGATGCAACCTATACATTGGTCTCGTTCCAATACTATGATTTAGAGCCTTAAAACTAGAAAAAGTAATACACTGCTTCACAGTATACAATCTTTAGAAGGTGAAGAGATTTCTTGCCAGCAATTGGTAACCTATGTATCCATCTCTCTCTTTCTATCTCTGTCTCTGTTGAGTTCAAGGGGCCAATCATATACATTTTGTGTAGATTTCTGCTAATGTGAAATCTAAGTTGAAGGGTTCTGTTCATACCCTTGAAGACGTTAGAACTACAAATCAAAGGTACTGTGAAGGTAGTCAGGGGGATAAAGCAAATTATCAATACACTTTTGACCAAACCTGATGTTTGTAATCTGTCTCCTTTTTATAAGCATGTATGCCTCCGTCACTATCTACATTAGTTACTTCGTGGTAGACAGAATACTTTTAAACGGCCTAATTAAAAAACGAAGGTTATACGAAAAATGTGATCCATTAGCGCTTTATGTTTTGAAAAATTCCTCCACCTATAAACCCGCAAGTTTACGCGTATGAAAATTAAAATCAACAGTTAAGACAGTAGAAATTCTAAGAATAGGAAGCATTTGAGGGCTACCACTATTGATATGCTAACTAAAATCATTCCTAACAAGGTAGAATAAAGGTGAATACAAATATCTATGGGGATATAGCGGGGGTTTAGATTTACAGATGGTTATGACTTCGACAGACTTAATTAAGTACTTCTCTTTAACTATAATTGTCTGAAGACTGTTTCATTACAACATATTAAAAACAGTTTATCCTGATGCCCTCTGATAAATAGTCAAGCTACCCTGTTCTTGTTGGCACAGCTACTGGTATCAACACTCATAAAGCAGGTAAATAGAGAAGAACTATGGCAAAACGCTGGTTTATCAAAGATATTGTTGATCAATTCCGTTTAACACTGACATTCTATTACTTCTGGAGAAAATCTGACTTGTAGTATTACAATTGTTATTCCGTGGGTTTATTAGAATGATTAAGTTATTATTTCATTGGGAGCATTATTTCACAAATAGGACGAAGCATCTATTTTAGACTAAACTGTCAAACGATAGTGCCGTTTTCTGTACCAAGTAGTAAGTTATATTGTCGGTGGCGTTAACAGAAGATATTTAAGCGCAAAAATACTTGGGATGGTATTACTTATTATATTATTATTTGTCCCTTGGCTTCCTAGTGGAACATAGGGCTTAAGAAGCTCGTCTCCATCGCCATTTCACTCTCTCTACAGTTTTTTCAACCTGGCCCCACCACTCCTTCGAAGCTTTCATTTCTTCATCACAAGATCTCCTCTATGTCACACTCACACGCACAACTCATCGTTTTTCATTTGGTTTCCACTCGAGGACCTGACCTGAAGCGTGATATCATCGAGTGGTCTTCTCACTGTATGTTCAATCCATCTTCACCTTTTTCTCCTACATATTTGTTGGGCGATAGGTACTTAGTTGGTTCGTTGCCAGGCCAGAGCTACTTGTTGCTTATTCTTTCTGGCATGCAATCTGTTAAATCTCTTGCAAATTTACGGCTAAAGGTATTATGCCAAAATCGCATATGGGATATTTACAGACTTCCAAGTAGTTGGATTGATATTAGCAGGGTGACCATTTAAAACCCGAAACCAACACCATCAAAGAGTCTCACATTAGGATGTAATATCAACTGAGTGCTCCAAAATTTTCATTGACTTTTTGACATCAGTCCGTGATGGGAATGACCCTGATATTTCTGTACTGTTTACAGGATTTTTGGAAGAAGCCTAGTCATCTAATAAGAAATTAGAATGAATATCTTTTATGAATTTATTCATTTAACTTAGAATTTACTTCTCAGTGTTTTCGCTTTCATTTGAATTATTGTTGTGTTACAGAGTAAACGACAACTATGTGATGTCCATAGTACGAGGTGAATGTAGTAACCTATGTACAGATTCAATGAAGTGACTTGCAGGGCCAGAAAAATGTTCGATAATATTTATGTAGAATAAGGTCCATTGAAGTTATTTCAAGAATATAAGATATATTAATCAATTATTATTATATATTATTTGTCCTTTGGGTTCCTAGTGGAACATAGGGCTTCAGTAGCACGTCGTCATTTCATATTTCCTCTGTGTTTTGAAGTTTCTTTAGCGATGGGATTGATTTTTCGGGTAGGATTGCTAGTCCCACGCCCAACCTTCCCTCTTTTTCCGCGCTTAGAACCGGCTATTAAACTTGTGCACTAGTAAACTAGGTGAAATTATATTGGTAAATAAACAGCCAATTAGTGGAGATGTGTACAATCTGTTCGATTCCTATTATAATCCATGTTTTTCTTTCACTTCCATTATAAATTCCAGTCTGCTAACTCGTCAATCTCGAGTAGCCTTACTTACACTGAATTAGAATGATTTCCAATAAAAACATTTTGTCTGAAGAAGGAAGATATGTGTCTGAAAGTAGTGAAAACAGAAACTAAACATTTTCCACTTTTTTTGAGACAAGTATAGAATAGTTTATTTTACTAAAAATTCACTGGAACTAGGAGATATCTATCTCTATAATTGCTGTCTTTATTTCATGCCTATGCATACATTCCATTCATAAGAAATATTCATACTCCTTATGATAACCGTCACCTGTTCCACATGTCTATTCTATGATACAAAGCATAGCTTGCCTAAGATGATGCTGAGAAAATGTCATCATACCAAGACATGATGCCATAAGTAATTAATTCATTAACTGTCAAATGAAGTCACACGGAAATGTAGACAGAGCCATTAAAAATTTAAAAATTGACGATCTCAGGGGATGCAACTGAAGAGTAAAAGCATTCGTATCTATGCAAGAATAGGATGGATGAATATGTCAGAATTTAATTTAAAGTTACATATAATATGTAAAAAATTAATTACTGTAAAGTTTAAGGAACTGATAATAACAATAATCATTGTATTGATGATAGGTACAGTTATAATACTGGTGATACTTCTTGATGTAAAAGTCAACGAATAAAGGATGAGTATATCTTAGAAATTGATTCAAAATTTATGTTAGTAATTCAGTAACAAATAGTCCGAATAGAAGGAACTTGTTAAAAACATAAATGATCTTTTATAAGCAACACTAAAAGGAACTCAACACTACAAGAACAGTAATCGATTATCCTCTTCCTTCTGAGCTAAAATCTTCCCTATCATCTTCAAAATCTGTAAAGGTCATGTTTTGAATAATATCGTATGATTCAATGATGTTATTCAATTGGAAGTGAGTTATATTAACACACATTATTAGTTAGTTACTTAGTGTTTACACCAATGAATCTAACAGTATATAATTTATTAAATAATAGGCATAAAGTGATATGTATAAGTAGGGTGATATGTCAATTAAATTTCAACAGATAATCACATTATCGTAATCAATAAACACGGAATTCTCGTTAACAAAACTAAATCATCAGTCATTTTAAACTTTGGCATCAATAATCATACTTTCAAGCTTACCCACATTCCTTATTGCAAGACAATGTTTAGTGATTGTATATTTTAACCATAATTTAGAAAAAAAATTGAAATAAACTAATACTGCAAATTTGTTCACTTCTTTGGATAACTGGAGATATTATCCTTGTAGTGTTTTATATCTACCATGAGAGAATATTATTAGTTCACTGAAATATATTATGTACCTTAATTTGTTCTTAAGGACAATTCACTTGTCTGGTTGCATAACACCTAAAACCATAATCAGGTTGTTACACCCAAAAAACAGATATTCTGATTGAAACATCCAAGAAATATGGCTTCACTGATGTATACTTCTTTAAAGATTCAATTATATAACCAATACATGAAGAAGTAGAGCTTTTGTATGACTACCGGTATCCAGCATGTTCCCATGTAAACTTTATTTGGCACGAATAAGACTAGTGGTAAATATTTTGTTAAAATAAATATGGAAAATAATATAACAAATGAAGAGATTAGTGTTATTGCTTGTATTACACCGTTATTGATTGGACCGAATTGATCAGTCTTTGTTGGCATATGGGCTCCTGTGCGGTTACCTCAATATTGCCTGTGTTTTAATTATGTATAGTAATGATAGGCAGTGGCTAGTAGTGGAATCCAGGATGCTCATTTCGTCCTATTTGGGACTCACACAGGAGCCCATATGCCAACAGAAACTGATCAGTTCGGTCCATTCAATGACGGTGTAATACAAGCAATAACACTAAAACTATACCCGTCGCACAACAAGTGGCTATTGTGGCTCGGTGGTGTAGTGGATAACGCTCTTGCATTTGAAGTGATCGCTCCCGAGTCAGAATCCCGGTGGTAACGACATCACTCACTGGAAGGCAATTACATTCAGCTGACCAGTGAGTCCCAAATAGGACGAACTGCGCATCCTGGATTCCACTGCTAGCCACTGTTCATCGTTATAAATGAAGAGATTAATTAGAATTACGCTTAAAATTACTTATTCAACACACTTATTTGAACGAAATAATTATCATTTATGCTAGTTTTACCATACTAAACATCCTGAATAAGCAACAAAAACATCATTAGTCAATAATTTTTATTAAAATATCTTCGATAACGGTTTCATAGTAGAGACTGAGGTTTTGGAAATGAACAAATTGAAATGAATCTCATTGGGATCATAGTTTTCTATGAGATTTCAGTTAAATGATTAATAATATCTTATATATTATAAAAAACGTTTCAGAACATAGTATTCTGATACACAAATCTATAGTATTTTCATTCAATTTAAATATCTTTTTACAGACCAAAGATCCAAAACAGTATTATGGTAAATGTAAGTGAATTTCACTGATTTTTGTTGAGTAGACTTATAAATTTAACATTCAAAGGATTTTTAGTCTGTGAATATGATGTGAAAATGTATTTCAAAGGTTTCGATTTTGATATTCATCACGGGCTAACATCTTTTAAGGAGCCATTGAAGACCTGGGAACATTGGTCAACTGTTAGGTCTGAGTACCATACTCTTCATCATCCCACAACCATAACCCCATCAGGGATCCGGATGAGCATGTTACCACTGAGCTACTGGATCGGAAACGAATGGTGAACATTTTTCCGCTTTTGTCAGTTCGTGATATAGCATGACGTTCATTCAATACTATCGTTGAGTACCTGACCTAATATACGACTTGGTTTGCTCTATCAGTGATGACTTCTTATAACAATCTATGAAAGTCTTATCTAGAAATAAGTCACAAATCAGTGCTGGACAATAGTTCAATTCAGAATTTGTCAAGGTTTGTTGGTTTATTATTGATTTATTTAAAAGTAATAATGTTTATGATATTATACTGTCCTTATGGACACCAGTCCGAAGTGAGATCATCTTATATGAACTTCAGCGAAAATATAATGTTTAAAACTATTTGACTTGATTGCAGATGAAATAATGCGGAGAAGGATGAAGAATATGTTGTAGAAACAGAAAATGAAAAGTGTAGATTATAGTTAAAATGTTGGAGTCCAAATAATGAACTTTTAGAAATAAGTATCAACAAAGAATCCCACTAGTGTTATTGCTTGTATTACACCGTCATTGATTGAACTGAATTAGTCAGTCTCTGTTGGCATATGGGCTCCTGTGTGAGTCCCAAATAGGACGAAATGCGCATCCTAGATTCCACTACTGGCCACTGCTCATCATTACTTTACATAGAAGAATTCCACTGTTCAAATATACCACTAAACTGGTTAAGAGTTCCTTACTACATTCAATTTAGGATTTTGTTTCCTTTCAACGAATTTTCTGATCTTAAGAGAGGAAGTATGGTAAATTTCATTAACTGTTCATACAATCTTAAAAAGTTCTGAACCTTTTCATTACGACTTTAACTGATTATATTCCTTCATATGGTTACCATTTTCTGCAGTGTCTGAAAGGAAACGTTTGTTAAGAGCAGCCTTAAAGCTATGGAATCTTATGTAGGTAAAGAATTTAGGTGATTGGAGGTGAAATGTAAACTTGGGTTCAGCCAGGATTTGAAACACCGACCTCCGGGTTACCGGCCTGGTCCTTTATCAACTGAGATACGAGTCCTTATAGCAGATCAGATTTTAACTCCTCTTGAGTTACCAAGAATTTTGCCCAACTGTCTTGTCAAATCATGATGCGTTACAATCCGTTCATAATAATTACACCGTAGGCTTGCCAGGTAGCTAGTTTAAAACCTCCTCCAGCCTATATCTTCGTTTCACCTTCAGTCGTCACCTATTATTGTAAGTTTATCGAGCCTTGGTAATCTCAACTAGCAAAAATGGTATATTAGATGAGTCTATTCAAAACAGCATTCAGTTATACAATATTATTTAATAGGTGACCCTGAGAATACTCATACTCAGATAAAGATGCTCAGACAACTTTCTAATTTTCTTATTGATCAACTGCTTATTATTTTTTTATTCTTTGATAGTAGAATTTTCTATACTTTAGAGTTAGAAGATAAACAGAGCGAATTAGATTTGTTGAACCTGAAAATTAAAAAAAAGATAAGAATGTGGCTTAATATATATCATTCCCTTTATCAACATTAGTAGATCCCGAATAAATATTGGATCAGAATAACATGCTCTTCGTCAGCTACTTACAATTTAGAATATTTACAATGACAAATGAAAACGAAATAATAAGCATATTTAAGTTCAGTGAAATCACTCAAAATGAGTCAATGGCAAAGCAGAGTAAAGCGAATATCCGATGTTGTGTAATCGTACCAGAAATATATCTTATCAGAACATAAATCCTCGAAGAAATGAGATGGGGGTTGGAGAACGAATACTGTAAACATTTAAACAAGAAATTGCATAAGTTGATGAGTAGATAAGTTGGTAATAATCAGCATAAAAAATGTAATAGAACTCAGTAGAACAAAATTGGGATTTTGAGTTGACTGAAAATCTAATGACAGGAAAATGATGTAATCGAACAACTCGAAGGATAAGAAATTAGATCAATAGGATAGTTGAAGGTTGACAACAGACTGATTTCTTCAAACACATGAATCTGATTCTAGACTTTTGTTTGAAAAAGATTCAACGAAATGAAGAAGATTTGAAGTAGTTCTGATGGCTGATTATTTCTACTTATTACAAAGTGTCCTGTGTCCCCTAAGTGTCTAGTAATTGCACTCCTCCCAATAATTGGATCCTTGTGATATATTCAAAATATCGAAGGTAAGCCATTTTTTCCCTCCTCTCAGTTTAAGTGCTTCCATAGTTAGGTGTGAGGTAATACATGCAGTCGAAGGCAACATGTTAGGGATTCGTGTCGATTTTTGATTGTTCCAAAGACCTAGAGGTTCTAAAAATAAAAACTAGCTTTGCTATGAGATATGTGCTGGCCACTGCAGTATACAGTCTTCAGTTTAACAACAAGGCAGTAACGCCATCATCGAAGCTCATGTGAATGAATATAATTTGACTGCTTTTTTCTCTCCCTACCGTATTTGTTAATGAGGCTTTGGGGGCATAAATTTTCCATAATATGTTTCTCAGTAAGCTATCCCTTGTTCTAAATCTCACAGTATTTGACTTTTAACTCCTATCTAATTTCTATGCGAATTTATGGTCTGAAAAGATACATATTTCTGACATATCTACACGACATTTTGACTTCATTTCAATGTGGATAGTTTCTTTAATTCGCTAATGTTATTGACCCGTTTTAAATGTTTTCAGTGAACTTAAGTGTGTCCAATATTTCATTGTAATTTGTCCTTGTAAACATTCTTGGTTGCAAGCAGCTGACGAAGAAGGCTGAGATGATAAAATGGATCCATGCTATTCTTCCAAAAATGTTAGTTCTTGAACTTTCAAAACTAAACGCCGGCTTTGACGTAGTAATCTACCTAATCCATTAAACTATAATTGATATATGGACTTTAATTAATTATACTGCATTAGTTACAGTAGGTAATTCGGAGACTGCAGGTTCATCATTACGGTTTGAGTACTATAAACCTTCATCAATCTCATTCAGCAGCAGCTATATGCTATATGATGACGTCACATGCCAAGTGATTCACAATGAAAATCTCAGTGATGCCTTTGAATTGGAGACAGGGTAAAGGAGTAAGACAAGGTTGCCAACTACCACCAACGATCATCTCCTAGATCGTGAACGACTCGACACTCGAGAAGATGGGCATATGCTGGCTGGACAGATGAGAAAACCCCAGAAGAAGATTTAGATTTCGCCAACGATGACCACTCATGTCTAACATCTTATGCCGCACAAACTTGAAGGTCCACAATTTACAACTAACAAGTTGGCAGAGGAGGCAGGGCAGCGAAGATGGCACTCCCTTCATGTGAACGTAGAGACGACACAGGTGATGAAGATATCCGACCAGAAACAGAAACAACAAATACAACAACAAGCACTAATCACCATCAGAGGGAGAAATCTGAAGGAAGTCGTCTCCCTCACCTACCCACCTACCTAGGCAGCATCACTTCAACCAGCACAGGTGGCACAGGCACAGATGAGGATATCAAAGCAGTCAGAATCGGAAAGATAACAAGACAGGTCTTCCTTCATTATTCTGAAGCCAATCAGTGTGGAGATCTACTGCACTGCACTGCACTGCACTCAGCAACAAGTGTGAACGATATCCGGATTTTCAACACTAATGTCAGTCAGGTAGGTCAGTGCTTCTATGTGATGGTTGAGAGACTTGGGGTGTTGCGAAAAGCGTTTCCAACAAACTGTAGACACGATACATCAGCAGCTGCCCCGTATGCTCACTCAGTACTGAAAATCAGTCAGACGACCAGTATAAAAAGAGTAAGCAACGAGGATCTTCGGTCGGGCAACGAACCAACCGAGCAACCAACCAAGAGCCCACTGCTCAACAAATATGTAGGAGATGAAAGTGGAGGTGAATTGGACTGGATTGTACATAGACTCAGAAAACAGTCTGGTGACATCACGCGTCAGGCCAGGCGAGGCTATGCTGACGAGTGGAACCCAAATGGGAAACAATGAGTTGTGCGTATAAAGATGAAATGGAGGAGATCGTGTGATGAATAAATGACAGCTTGTGGGAAGTGGTGGAGCCAGGTTGTTGAGACTACGGAGGAGGGAGTGAAACGGCAACGGTGACGTGCTCCTGAATGTGTATGTTCCACTGGGAACTCAAGAGATAAATAATATTATGTTAAATGTTAAAGTAGGTCTGGTTAAATGAGTACGTATACAAGTTAGAAGTTTATCCAATAAGGCAAAAAATTTAAATGAAGAAATTAAACAAGTTAGATAAGTCTATTTCTTTCTAATCGTTCTAAATTTATATTGAAGTTCATAAAGAAGCGTAGTAACGAAAAAGCAGTACTGTGAACAATAATCGTAACATGGTTAGGAGTGAATTCAAGGCCACTACAGAACTGTCACACAAGGAAGGTACATCAGTAATCCTACATGGGATTGTTGATAAGGCAATGACCAGTGTAGCACTCAAACATGCAAATTAACCCACAGACAAAATCTACTGATTTCGGAATTCTTTTAACTCGTTTAGACGAAATAATTTAATCTACCAAATACACGTAACAGGAATTATTCAATGTGGATTCTAGATGTATAAACACTCCTGTTAGTAAAAGAATACTCAGATAACAACCCTTGATAACCTCAGTTTGACTACAGGTAATTAGCTGTGCTCAAAGAATCATGTAGTAACTTCTAAGGTGGCCTTTAGAGTAGCTGAAGATACAGAGGCTTCAAAAATTGCACTCATTCAAAGCATAGATTAAATGGGCTTTGCATAAACTTCA